GATAATGACTTTTGACCCTTTTTATTTTAATTATTTTTTATTTTTTAAAGTTGAAACGACACATTTGTTCAAACTGCTGGCCCAGAAACCAGTGGCCAAAGCGGTTCTGGTTCTGAGCCGATTTTTTAAAACCTTATTGAATGGATTGACATGTCATGCTCATAAACATTCCTGCTGTTGCTCTCCATCAGCCAAAGTTTTCCTCATGACTCACAAGGCGGTTTTAGTCTCATGGGGGCAAGGTATTGTATGCAAAACTGGCTTCAGTCAGTGCAAAGCCTGTTCGAACAATATTTACAATCTTACATTCAGAATATCTTCGTACTTATGTGCTATATTTTATGAGAGATATTCCTAATACAAGATTGCAAGAGGCTATTTAAACGGTATGAGCATGGACTTGTACTGACCAAAGCCAAACTCATTGTATGCTAGACCTATTTAATTAGTAATTAGTGGGTTTAGTGACAAGGTGTAACCGGTACGAGTCCAAATCTCATCCCAACAAGGTTCCCAACAATGGGTCGAAATCTGATGCACGGTTGCAATGGATGTTGGGACCTCAATACAAGGTATGCTTTACCAGGAGCTTGACGATTTTCATGTCAAGTGTCTTTGAGGTAGGAGTTCGCACCTCTGAGCACATGAAACGCTGTCCGTCCACAAGTACATACATATACTTGTTATTTAATGGAGATGTTACTGATGATGTACAGCTGTAGTGTTTTTGTGGCCATTATATTATTATTGTCAATCATACTTGAAACTCCACCATCTCATTCGACATCTCATCTGACTATCCTACTTTCCGAGGTAATTGTATTGGATCGATGTTGATTTTGTAATTTGCATTGGATCAATAATTGGATCGGATTTTGATTTCACTTCATCTGATTGAGTAAAATTTGAATTTAATTATATTATAATATTTATTGAATTTAATATAAAGTTTATATAATTATTTTTAAAATTATATATATAATAAACTCAGTAAATTATATTTACATTAAAAAATTAATACAGAGTTGGATTGAATTCAAATCCGATTTGAGTTCATTTGGACTCGAATCTGAATATGAAGTCCTCAAATCGAATCAGATTTTGGGTCAAATTTGGATGCAAGTTTTTTAATAATCAGATTAAGATTTTATTTAACTAAATCTGTTTAATGCTTTACTTTCAAGTAGCTCTTTTGGTTGTCAGCAGCTTAAACACTTGTCTTTTTTCTTTTTCTATTTTTTTTTTCAGCTATACCTTTAGCGTGAACCGTTCAATCTTTTGTACTGGTACCATTCAAATTCATTCTTAATTATTAGTTGGTTTTATAATATAGGACATTTTGTTAATTTTTTTTTAAATATTTTAGCACTATTTGATATTCATTTGTAATCCAAACCTATTGGAATCCGATATAATCTGATGGATAAGATTCAATTCGAAACCAAATATGATGGATCTGGGTAATATCAATCCAATCCTCAGATCTACACCTCACACAACACTTCTCACATCGATCTCACAAACACATCCCACCATCTATCAGGAACATTTCATGTACTTAGGGGTGTGAATGGTATTCGAAAATTCGACATTGAATTCGAGATTTGACATAATTGAATCGAATTCGAATAATTTGAATATTTAATCGATCGAATTTAGATATTATTTGATTCGATTCAATAAATATCCGAATCCAACTGATTATTTAATTCTTATATATTAATTATATAAATAATATATATTTATATACTTTATATAAATAAAATATTTATTTTATATATTTATTAATTACTTAAAACAATTAATTGGGTGAATTTGAATCAAAACGAATATTCGAACATTTAATTGAATTTGAATTTGAATATTAATTTTCAATATCCGTCAAACATTGAATCAAATTCAAATATCGGATCTTTCAATCAGATTCAAATTCAGATATTACCTAATTCGATTCGAATTCAATCCATTTATTCCCCTATCTATACATGGGATGTGCCTGTAAAGTCAGTGTGAGGTGCACTCTATGATGTGCATATTCGAAATCGCTCTACAGGCAAGTGTTGAAATGATTAAACGTCATAGCATTCCCATCCTCCTTTCACCTCATGATGGGAATGCTAGGATGACTTATGAGTGATCATCATAGCCCTAAGCAAAGGAATCAATTTTGAACCTCCTATTGCTTCCAACTTCTCTTTCTTAATTATGTTTTTTCATTTTTGAAACTAGCCCATAAGCTTGATCCATTGCAACTATCAAAACAACAGACAATCACAAAAGTAGCAATGGAACAAAGACTATGGATTGTCTCAAAAAAGATAGAGAGAGTAACTATAATAAGCCATATGATAATGGTTGAAATTGTTGAATTGAAAGACTTATTTCTTTGCCTTTTAACTGTTAAAATAATTAAATAATAAAATTTTTAAATAAGGGTATAGTGTGATCTATCCAATTTTAGTTTTAGCAATTAAGAAACTCACAACTAGGGTTGTATAATTTTTTTAATCAAACCTACCTACACAGGTTGATATTTTTGATATTTTTAGAATCCAAAACGGGCACAAGTTAGTGAAATGGGAGGGAGAGAAGTAGATACAAAGTGGGTTTAAATGCTTGATCAAAAGGAGGAAAGAGATTTAAATGGGCAAAACGATGTATGGTCAACTTTCTTCTGTATCTTTTTCAATCTTCAAACAACATTTTCTTTCTATTCTTTACAACTCTCAATTGAATATTTAATTTCAGAATCTACTCCACTCCCACTGTTCCACAGAAGCTACAATTTGAAAGATCTAACCATCAGTTTATTATCTCTATTATTGGATAAAAATTAAGGGAAATGCCATTTCAAATTGACTTAGATGGCTAGACGCCATGTCCAGTTTTGTTCTGCCATCCCAGCTAGTGTCATGGTTGGGTCAGTTATTTTCAGTTTACAAAATTGTAAATTGAAACTGAACAAGCCAGTCGAATTCTCCATTTTAAGGAATTGAAACTGATCAACAATTTTTAAAAACTGACTATTTCGGATCAAATCGGGCCGGTTTGATGAATTTGGTTTTCTTTTTGAACACCCCTAAAGACAACTCAATAAGATTTTCAATTCAGCATCTTCAGCTGTTATAACTAAGGGTGTAACTTTATTCTTTTCTCCTTTTAAGCTTTAATTTTCTTCCGGGTAAATTCTGGTTTTAAGCTAAGTTAGAAAATTTTTTGGGTATAATTGCATAAGAATTAGGATTCAATCAATATTACAGAATTCTATGATCTATTAAAAAAAATGAATAAGGCTGAGTTTGGAAACGATGCAAATAAGTGTGAATGCAAATATGCAGAATTTAAAACAATTCATATAAATTATAAAGTTGGGTTAGTTTTACACCGACAAATTTACTTTCTTATCAAACGGACTTTTAGCTTTAATGGATGCAAACCAAATTCCAATAAAGCATACGCATTTTTTTCATCAAAAGCCCACTTGAATGCAAATTTACTTCTTTTTTATTGATGTATTTTTACATCTTATTATCAATGTAAATATGTATTGGTCTGTCATTTGTCAATGCAAAAATGTAATGTTGCAAAACACAGACAAAAGTGAACCAGAGTGTAAATTTACCCTGAACTGGAATTTACACTCTATTTGCATGGTTTCCAAATGCAGCCTAAAGGAAAAGCAAGGCGACTTTGCAAGAGTAGAAAGTCTTTTCTGTCCTTTTTTTTAGCCCCAAACTTTACTCCCAGTGTAGTGCAGGGTGGCTATCCAAATCTTATTAATAAATAAAAATAAAAAAGCCTAGGAGGGGAAGACTTAGCCCTCTTAAAATTGGGGTGGAATCTACTCACAACAAAAATTGTTCCAATATGATCGCATTACAAACATGGTGGTCTCATTCTCATGTGGGATCTGCTCACAACAAAAATTGGTACCGGGTTGTTACAATTTTTGTTTGTGATTTTTGGACTGCATTCTGTCTCAAAAATCTTTTTTCTTTTTGGCATCAAACCACATCCTACAATTTGGCATCAAACTACGGGCAGGATTCAATCCACTCCTAAATGGAGCTAGGATTTCCTAGGGGTGGACTGAATCATAAAAACCCCTTTTGTTTTTTTTTTTCTAATACACGTTGATAGAATATTTGCTGTGAGTTGATCCCGATCCCATAAAATTTAGTGAAATTTAGAGTTCAATCCACTTCACAAAATTTTATTAGAACGTCGTTTGATAATTGAGCTTTTATGGGGTATTATTGTCTTTAAAGATAAAGACCGTTTGATAAGTGGTTTGATCTACTAAACTTTTAAAAACACGTTTAGAGGCAATCTATCACATGACCATAAAGCTTCATTTGAAGCTTCCTAAAATTTGCCATTTTCGATCTTTTCATACATGTCTTCTCACCTTTCCAACTTTTGATTATCAAATAGACTCTTTGGAACTTGTCAAAAGACTCAAAATCCAAAAAAGATGAAAATCCCATTTTTTAGCTGATTTCAAGAAACGTCAAATGAAACTTTTCGTATTTTATTTTCGCATAGAAAGACAGAAAAAGATGCACACTAATTTCAAACTCCTCACATCTTCATACAAAAGCTCGGTGCCTCTTTTTATTATGAGCTACCAGAACATATTTCAAAAAGACTTGACAAACGGTCTCCTACAAAACCGCACAGAACTAATTTTTTATATTTTATTTACCAATAACCCCACTCACTATCCCTTGTTAATAATTAAATATATGTACGTACCATGAAAACGTGTCTAATGCGTCTATTCTGTTCCATTGAATGACTTGGCATATCCTGCCGCCGTGTATTGGGAATATCTCAAGGCTCCCATCTCAAGAAAACTACAGTGTCATCGTTGACCATTTAATAAATTAAAGTTGAGTGAATGAATGACCTATACCCAGAGGGCGAGGGCGAGGGCGTGGGAGCATAATAGAGTGTGGGTATCGGTACATTTGAATGTTTATGGCCCTGCAGTCTAAATCAGAAATCATAATTGGACAAATCCGTACTTTTCCGACTAAAATTTCCCAACCTTGCTGATTTTTTATAAAACTTAGTTGTGAATTGTGATCTCTGCTACATTACATTGATATAATGGATGGTTCTGCTACCTCTCCATTGTTGAATGCCGATGATCATGAAGAAGACATGGAGGCCAATGAGCAACAAGAATCATCCAAGGGAGGATGGAGATCATCCATTTACATCATTGGTAAGCCTGCTTTTCTGACACCGACTAAATCTCTAATACTTCTCCCAACCTTCATTACCTATTTCTCAAGGATTATTGGCTCAACAGGAGTCGAAGCGGCTGAGCGATTTGCTTACTATGGCATGTCGGCAAACCTTATAACTTATCTTACTGACGTCCTTCTCGAGCCTACAGCCACAGCGGCCATGAACGTCAACATCTGGTCTGGAGTAGCGACTGTCCTACCTCTACTTGGAGCTTTCATGGCTGATTCCTACTTGGGTCGTTTTAAGACCATAATCATCTCGTCCGCAATTTATCTCATGGTGGGTTGGCCGGATTTCATCAACTTATTTCAGTATTCTCAGCTTTCATCTTTGAACAGAGTTTTCAAATATTGTCACAGGGATTAGTGATGTTAGTGTTATCGGTGTCGGTGATTCCATTGCGATTTCAGAAAGTTGTGTTTTTCTTCTCTCTTTACATGGTGGCCGTCGGGGAAGGCGGGCACAAACCCTGTATACAGACTTTCGGAGCAGATCAATTCGATGAAGATAAACCAGATGAGAAGACAGCCAAGAGCTCCTTCTTTAACTGGTGGTACTTTGGGATCTGTACAGGAAATTCAACAGCACTTTGCCTAGTAGTTTACATTCAAGATAATGTGAGTTGGGCAATTGGGTTTGGAGTGCCAGCCATTGCAATGGCCATTGCTCTAGCTCTGTTTCTGTTTGGTTGGAGATCATATAGACGACAGTCCTTGACGGGCAGTCCCCTTACCAGAGTGGTGCAGGTGTTTGTTGCAGCTGCTCGTAAGCGGCATTTGTCTTTCTCAGATGATGGCCATGGAGATTGTAGTGGAGAAGAAAGCATTACTTTGGCCATTGACTCTCATTCTACTGGTCGCCAGACCCTCCCACGCATCCATCAATTCAAGTAAGTTGGGATTTGCCCATTGGCTTTGTCTCAAGGCTGGATTGATCCCTGCAGGTTCCAAAAGCTTGGTAGAAATAGAATCTTATGGAAAACTTTTATTAGCCCAATTTCAAAACCTGAATCTGTGATCAACCCCAATTTTGTAGATGTTGTGATAGATAGTATCAATTGGCTGGTTTTTGGTAAACATTGGTTGGGTTGACCCAACTCAATTTCTGAGCTTGCCACTGATCAGGCCAATTGGGGAGATCACACTGAGAAATGAAATTTGGAACTCACAGTTGTTCAAAATCAATAGGGGAATTATTAGTCCCTACACAGATTTTCATGTTTAGAGGTTATTCTTGAAGCTGAGTGAGATAACTTCTAGTGTTCTTTTTCTTCTCTGTTTTTGGAGAAATTGATGGTTTCCCAAATGCGTCAAAATTTGATCACTTCGTAAGCATTATTTGTTACATTAATTCCTGCAGATTTTTGGACAAAGCTACGATCATTGACGATTTAGATTTATCGAGCAAGAACAGAAACGGTTGGAGGCTTTGCACGTTGACCCAAGTAGAAGAAGTTAAACTTCTACTTCGTCTACTTCCAATATGGTTTAGTTGCTTGATATATGGAATTATGTTTTCTCAAGGAGGGACCTTCTTCACCAAGCAGGGCAGTACAATGTACAAAAGGATCAGTTCCAACTTCTCTGTCCCTCCGGCAAGCCTTCAAGTGGCTATTGGTGTAGTAACTATCATCGGCATGCCGATATATGATCTTGTTTTCGTCCCAACTGCAAGAAACTGTACCGGATTCCCCTCCGGCATCACAATCCTCCAAAGAATTGGAGTAGGAATTTTTCTTTCAGCAGTGGCCATGGTAATAGCAGCTCTTGTAGAGGGTAGAAGACTTAAGATTGCAAGAGAATATGGGCTGATAGAGAAACCAAAGGAAACCATTCCCATGAGCATTTTCTGGTTGCTGCCACAGTATATGATGATGGGAGCTTCAAATTTATTTGCAATCGTTGGGCTGCAAGAACTCTTCTATGATCAGATGCCAGAGGGAATGAGAAGCATGGGCTCAGCTGCTTACCTCAGTGTGCTTGGTGCTGGAAGCTTATTGAGCAGTGCTCTTATATCTATGGTGCAATTCGCTAGCTCAAGATGGGGAGATGAATGGTTGGGTGAAAATCTCAATCTTGCACATCTTGACTATTATTGCTGGTTGTTGGCTGGGTTGAGTGGCTTTGGGCTTGGTTGTTTTATCTTGGTGGCCAAGTGTTTCATTTACAAGAAAACTCAGTGTTGAAACGAATCCAAATATTGGAGGCTCTAAACAAAAGGTTAGTCGTAGAGAATTACACTGCAACAATTTGGTTTAGTACTGATTCTAAACACAAGGAGTTTGTAAGAATAGCATCAATATGAAAACAATGAAAGAGCATAATATTATACTATTAATAAGAAATCATATAGGTCTTATGAACAATTAATTCTTCCTTAGTGGTTAACTTTTTGGGCCCTTCTCTTTCTGTTTCTATCAGGTGGGTTTTGGAAGACTTTGGTTGGATCAGGCATATTAGGGCTGCAAATGGATCGAATTGGATGGATAAAAGGATATAGGCGCACAGATCTAAATTTGATATATTTATATATTCAAATTGAAATCTGATTATCCATCAGATTTATGTTGATTGAGTTTGGATTGCAATTGGATATTGAGTAGTATAAATAAATTAAATTAAAAAATGACCTAAGGATTAATAGAATGAGCTAAAAATGACTTTGATATTATATTTTATGATTGAAAATTACTTGTGGAAATTGAAGCTTTGGAAATTTAATAAGAAAACAATATTCAATTCAAGCTTATGTCAGGATGAATTGGAATTTCATTTTTGGTGTCCTAGAAATTTGGATTTAACAGTATATAACCGGATTGATATGATTCAGATTTGATTTTGCAATTTTTAGGCCCCGTGTGGTTCGTAGGAATAGGGGTCTGGAATTGGAATTGGAATGGGCTATTCCGATTACAACTGTTTGGTTGGGTGGAATCGGAATCCCATTCCCATTCCTGTTGGAATGGCATTCTCCCATTTGAGAGAATGGTCATACCCTGCCCCTCCTTTGGGAATGAAATCTCATTTCTGGTGATTCCAATTCTCATTCCCATTTCTGTCTGAACCAAACAGATTATGAGAATAGACCATTCTGATTCTGATTCCGAAAAATTTCAGTTTCAATTCCAATTCCGATTCCAATTCCAACTACAAACCAAACGGACCCTAATTTTCAATTATTGTCAATGGATCTCCTTGTGACCTACCATCTCCCAATTCTTTCATTCTTGTAGAGGAATTACTTACCTAAGGTTTGTCTATTATTCTTAATAATGGTTACGCCCCTTGCTATGCTTTCCCCTTATAGTTGTAATCCCATTTCACATATATTTCTATTTTATGAACAAGCCTCTGATAAAAAAATTAACAAGGATAAGTTCTATTTTATTGTGCATTGCAAGTGAATATTTCGACTTATAATAAAAGGTTATAAGTTTTACTGTTGTCATCTCTAGATTTGAGGAGATGATGTAGTGAGATAAGATTGAGTTGTTGAGGGATGCAAAATAAAGAAAAAAAAGAAAAGCAGAAAATTAAAAAATTAAAACCCTAAATCCCAAACCTCATAACTTGTTTCACATGAAACAGGGACATGAGTGTCATTTTTGTATACCTTTTCCTTATTTCTTACTTATTCATCAATGAAAAAAAAGATTGCATTTCAGAAAGCAAATTTTATTTAATCCCTACTATTTTATTTAAGTGGGGGCAGTTGAAAACAAAATTTAAATTTATTCATAAGTTTCATAATTATTTAAAATTTTCAAATCTTAAAAATTATAGCATTTCCATTCCCCTATCACCTCATGGAGGGGGAGGACGACGCTATAATGGACCCACTCAACATCAATTTTGATATTCCTCACTTTCGTGTGCCTCATACAGGTTTGGATGGATTTATAACAACTTTGCCTAACAAGAAAAACTCCTCCTATCTAAAGCAGGTTCGGGTTTAGTTTTTTATCAAAATTTTAATAGGTTTAATTCGAAAATTGAACCTGAGATAATGCAAAGTTGGACCTAAAGCCCGGCCCGTGAACAAGCCTAGAGTGGCATGGGCCTCTCTATTTACTGTTGTCACCGTTTGGGTCTTTGACCAGTCAAGAGCTCCTTTAACTGGTGGTACTTTGGGATCTGTAGTGGTGAAAAATAAAATGCTTAAAATCGATTTAGTAATGGTGAGGACAAAATTAAATTCAAAGTTTTTGCAGTTCTCTACTTTCAAAACTGCTAAAATCCTTAAACATGAATGTTTCAGACCTTGAACTATAAAATTATGAATATGTTATCTGATGTGATGTAATGGTGAGAAGCAAGAACTCAGCTGCTTACCTCAGTGTGCTTGGTGGTGGAAGCTTATTGAGCAGTTCTCTCATATCTGTGGTACAATCAACCTGTTCAAGATGGGGAGATGAATATGGTTGGGTGAAAATCTCAATCTAGCACATCTTGATTATTACTATTATTGGTTAAGGTTCGAAATATCAATATGTCCAATGAATCGATACCTTTTGATTTTATTTATTTTAAAACCGATTTAGAAGGGTCAGTTTAGAGTTCCTCCACCCCCTGAACCAGTTAGACCCCCGATACACCCAATGTAGGGGCATATTGGAGGGGTCCTAAAACAATACGTATCAACTAATATATATCGATACTTTGAACCTTGCTACTAGTTATTGGCTGGGTTGAGTAGCTCTGGGCTTGGTTTGTATATATTAGCAGCCAAGTGTTTCATTACAAGAAAATCAATCATTATTGCAAAACCCAATAAAAAAAGAGAAGCTAATCAAGAAGATTGGCTGTAGAGAATTACAGTGCATCAGATTGGTTCATGCTCTCCGCTGATTCGGAAAACAAGGGTTTTTTTTTTTTTTTTTTTCTTTTAAACATCAATATGAAAAGCATGGAAGAGAACTTCATGGTTTTTTCTTCAAATTCCAGTGCATCCATACGTTGGGATTATTGAGTCTGAGGGGTTTAACAATATAAGGATTAGCTTTGATAATTTTGGGGCGGAAAATGGATCAGATCCAATTCAATTTTATTAGAATCTGAGAGATTCAAATGCAATTCAATATCTGATGAAAACATAGATTTAAATTCCAATCATTTAGGCTGCGTTTGGTTTAAAAGAAAAGGTGAGGAAAGAAAGGGAAAGGTTGGGAAACCTACCTTTTCTTTCAAACCAAACACAGCCTTTTATAGTCTCTCGTGTCCGATTGGTTCAAATATCAGTAAATCTGTATAAAATTAGTGCGCATTTACAAAATCAAATACAAAAAAAAAAAACAGTTATCTAAATCATAAACCCAACTTAATTATGAAAAACTTTAAATTAATAAAAGTTCTATTATACGGAAAAGACATGATACCGGAAGATCTTTAAGCAATGAAAATTCATGAAAAATCAAAATTCTAAAGGGAAAGCTATGAAAACATCTCCTGTGTTTTCTAACGATCCTATATATAAACCTCCATTCTAATCTGACTCTAACATAAACTTGTGATTTTGGAAAAAAAATGCAAATACCTTCCTTCAATTAGCTTTCCAGATGGAAAAAGCTGTTATAATGCATTGAATTTTCAGAATACCAGATTTATCCCTGACCAACTTTATCTTTGTATATAACTTATACATTAACTAACAAAACAAAGAAAATAGAAACTGTTCAAGCCATATCCTGGTGGCTGGTTCCACCAATAACGTTCATCATCGAAAAAGGGTTGTTTGGCAAGCATTTGTAGATAAATCTTTGGATAAGTTACAAAGACCCCCTTTGTACTATGGGGCCAGATGTCCAAACTACCCTTTTTATATTGTTCATTGTCTTCTCTATTGAAGTTAGGTGAAATGGCATAAAAACAACGCTGATTTTATAAATGGAGAACATTAATGGAATAAAGGGGACCCCTTTTATGATGAAGATGGGAAAAAGGATGAATTAGAAGACTTAACTAGAGACAACATCAAGCCCATAATCATGATATATGAAGTGAAACTCAAAAAGAAGAAAAACAATTACTGACCCACCAGACCAGATTTATATATTTAACCGTTTCTTCTTCTCACATCGCTGATTTTATAAAAATTATTAATTTACGAGTTTGACGGAGTTTTTCCTGAATTTGAACATATAATTCTGAGAACCAGCGCTCATGCTGGATTAGTTCTGTTTGAGATGGCCTATCATCAAGCTGGCTCTTTGGCAATTGGCACTAAAGTTGGCCTCAGTTTGGTTCCAAGTTCACTCTTTGCTAAATTCAGTTTTTCCAGTTAGTTGCATAAAGACTGATCAATGTCGCCAAGGAGATCGAACCCCCTGGGAAAACGATATGATGTTGAACTAATGGGTTTAAGCTCAAACAGTCTAGCCAATCCGGGTTTTGGCTGCCTCTGCACCTCTGGCTTTGATTCTCGGATACAACAACAACATCATCATCATCATTATCATTTTCGACGTTGTGGAACTGGTCATTCTCCATGTAGAATCTAATGTGTTTGAATCCCTTTTTGAGCCAGTGATTCTTCATGATTTCTGGAATTGTTATTTTGGTCAAGGGGTTTGTGTTGAAAAGATGAGAAAGGAGTTAAATAAGCTCCGGGTCCGGGGTGAACCAGCAATGGCATCTGAATCTTCTTGTACATCGCCATGATGTTTTGATCATGGAAGGAAAAATAACCAACAACCAAAACAAACAAAATCACTCTGCACGTAGTTTAGCATTTTCTGTCATCTGACTTAACGGCCAAGGGGTCTTTGTCTAAGGTTAAAGTTCAGGAGGGGTTTTTGTCACAAAAAAAGTATAAGGGGGACTTTGTCACTGACCCCATAGTACAAGGGGAGGTCTTTGTAATTTACCCTAAATCTTTCAAGGGCACACTACTAAATGAGGAGATGCACCAAACTTTTGAGGTATCTGTCTTTAAAGATGTTTGGTTTTCCACCAAGTGTTCTGAGCTGCTAAAAGCAGCTGAAAAATCTATTTTCAGCATCAAAAGTAGGGGTGTCAATGGACTGATTTTGGATTAGATCCTGTCCAAACCTAAATCAATTTAGATGGATTGGACGGATCAACAAGACATATTGAATTGGACCAATCCAGAATTAATGGTCCAAAGTATTTAATAAATTTATATTAGATTGGGTTGGATTGAGCCAATATGTAATTCATTGATAGAAGATAAAAACATAGGTGTCAATGGACCAGGTTTGGGTTAGAACCAATTTAAATTAAAACAAATTTGAACAGATTGAATGGTCCAAAATATTCATTGGATTGGATTGGACGTGATCCATTTGTAATGGATTCAAATTGAACTGGATTGGATTGGACCAAATCAACTCCAGTTGACACCCCTAACTAAAAGTTCAAACATTTCATTTGAAGCTTTCCGATTTTTTTGGCATTTTTTATCTTTCCACACGCTTTTCTTCGGGTCTTTAGGTCTATACGATACCAAACAGGAAAAGACAATTTTTCGTCTTTTAATCTTCCCACAAATCGAAAAACACACCGTACACCACCCTAATCTTTTGGGCTGGAGTACAAACCCTTGACCAACTTCATTTGAATGTACATTTATTAAAATACTATGAAAATATAAAACAGGTTTATTTCTCTTGATTTCACTTCAGCCTTCAGACTTTTAAAATTGAACAAACTACA